ACATATACCAAGTAAAAAATACAACTTTAGAAATACTTCAATTTATCAAAAGACCTCCCTAGTAATGAAACCTCATAAACTCAAAAACATGTTTTACTCAAACTTGAAGCTTGACAGCCCTTATTGGTGTCACTTTTAATATTGTGGTAAAACTGTCAACATTAGATAGCACACCGCACGCCAAATCTGCGAATGATTGCACCAATCATAATACAGAGACCAGCACATCCACTTCTAAACAGCCAGTCATGACCCTCCCCATCCCCAAAGCCAGCATCCTAGGAACCAATGGCGTGTTTCCCCACCCCCAGCATTTGCTGTAGGCCTGGATGTCCTCTGTCCAAACCTGGTCCACCTCCAGGCTTCCACCCTGCTCCTCTGCCTCCTGAAACGTAAGTAGGGACTCTGCTGGGAAAATGTAGACATAAGGGGGACTGTACTGAGCACACATGGATGTAAGGGGGTCTCTGCTGGGCAGACATGGATGTAAGGGGGTCTCTGCTGGGCAGACATGGATGTAAGGGGGTCTCTGCTGGGCACAACACATGGATGTAAGGAGGTCTCTGCTGGGCACAACACTTGGATATAAGGGGGTATCCGCTGGGCACACATGGATGTAAGGGGGACTCTGCTGAGCAGACATGGATGTAAGGGGGACTCTGCTGAGCAGACATGGATGTAAGGGGGACTCTGCTGAGCAGACATGGATGTAAGGGGGACTCTGCTGGGCAGACATGGATGTAAGGGGGACTCTGCTGAGCAGACATGGATGTAAAGGGGTCTCTGTTGGGCACACATGGATGTAAAGGGGTCTCTGCTGGGCACACATGGATGTAAGGGGGACTCTGCTGAGTAGACATGGATGTAAGGGGGGACTCTGCTGGGCACACATGAATGTAAAGGGGTCTCTGCTGGGCACACATGGATGTAAAGGGGTCACTGCTGGGCACACATGGATGTAAGGGGGACTCTGCTGAGCAGACATGGATGTAAGGGGGGACTCTGCTGGGCACACATGAATGTAAAGGGGTCTCTGCTGGGCACACATGGATATAAGGGGGACTCTGCTGAGCAGACATGGATGTAAAGGGGTCTCTGTTGGGCACACATGGATGTAAAGGGGTCTCTCTGCTGGGCACACATGGATGTAAGGGGGACTCTGCTGAGCAGACATGGATGTAAGGGGGGACTCTGCTGGGCACACATGAATGTAAAGGGGTCTCTGCTGGGCACACATGGATGTAAAGGGGTCACTGCTGGGCACACATGGATGTAAGGGGGACTCTGCTGAGCAGACATGGATGTAAGGGGGGACTCTGCTGGGCACACATGAATGTAAAGGGGTCTCTGCTGGGCACACATGGATATAAGGGCGTCTCTTCTGGGCACACATGAATGTAAGGGAGACCTCTGCTGGGCACACATTGATGTAAGGGGGAACTCTGCTGGGCACACATGGATATAAGGGGGTCTCTTCTGGGCACACATGAATGTAAGGGAGAACTCTGCTGGGCACACGTTGATGTAAGGGAGAACTCTGCTGGGCACACATTGATGTAAGGGGGAACTCTGCTGGGCACACCTTGATGTAAGGGGAAACTCTGCTGGGCACACATAGATGTAAGGGGGGGACTCTGCTGGGCACACACTGATGTAAGGGTGACACTGTTGGGCAGACATGGATGTAAGGGGGAACTTTGTTGGGCACACATAGATATAAGGGAGAACTCTGCTTGGCACACATTGATGTAAGGGGGAACTCTGCTGGGCACACATTGATGTAAGGGAGAACTCTGCTGGGCACACATTGATGTAAGGGGGAACTCTGCTGGACACACATGGATATAAGGGGGTCTCTTCTGGGCACACATGAATGTAAGGGAGAACTCTGCTGGGCACACATTGATGTAAGGGAGAACTCTGCTGGGCACACATTGATGTAAGGGGGTCTCTGCTGGGCAGACATGGATGTAAGGGGGTCTCTGCTGGGCAGACATGGATGTAAGGGGGTCTCTGCTGGGCACAACACATGGATGTAAGGAGGTCTCTGCTGGGCACAACACTTGGATATAAGGGGGTATCCGCTGGGCACACATGGATGTAAGGGGGACTCTGCTGAGCAGACATGGATGTAAGGGGACTCTGCTGAGCAGACATGGATGTAAGGGGGACTCTGCTGAGCAGACATGGATGTAAGGGGGACTCTGCTGGGCAGACATGGATGTAAGGGGGACTCTGCTGAGCAGACATGGATGTAAAGGGGTCTCTGTTGGGCACACATGGATGTAAAGGGGTCTCTGCTGGGCACACATGGATGTAAGGGGGACTCTGCTGAGCAGACATGGATGTAAGGGGGGACTCTGCTGGGCACACATGAATGTAAAGGGGTCTCTGCTGGGCACACATGGATGTAAAGGGGTCACTGCTGGGCACACATGGATGTAAGGGGGACTCTGCTGAGCAGACATGGATGTAAGGGGGGACTCTGCTGGGCACACATGAATGTAAAGGGGTCTCTGCTGGGCACACATGGATATAAGGGGGACTCTGCTGAGCAGACATGGATGTAAAGGGGTCTCTGTTGGGCACACATGGATGTAAAGGGGTCTCTGCTGGGCACACATGGATGTAAGGGGGACTCTGCTGAGCAGACATGGATGTAAGGGGGGACTCTGCTGGGCACACATGGATGTAAAGGGGTCTCTGCTGGGCACACATGGATGTAAAGGGGTCACTGCTGGGCACACATGGATGTAAGGGGGACTCTGCTGAGCAGACATGGATGTAAGGGGGGACTCTGCTGGGCACACATGAATGTAAAGGGGTCTCTGCTGGGCACACATGGATATAAGGGCGTCTCTTCTGGGCACACATGAATGTAAGGGAGACCTCTGCTGGGCACACATTGATGTAAGGGGGAACTCTGCTGGGCACACATGGATATAAGGGGGTCTCTTCTGGGCACACATGAATGTAAGGGAGAACTCTGCTGGGCACACGTTGATGTAAGGGAGAACTCTGCTGGGCACACATTGATGTAAGGGGGAACTCTGCTGGGCACACCTTGATGTAAGGGGAAACTCTGCTGGGCACACATAGATGTAAGGGGGGACTCTGCTGGGCACACACTGATGTAAGGGTGACACTGTTGGGCAGACATGGATGTAAGGGGGAACTTTGTTGGGCACACATAGATATAAGGGAGAACTCTGCTTGGCACACATTGATGTAAGGGGGAACTCTGCTGGGCACACATTGATGTAAGGGAGAACTCTGCTGGGCACACATTGATGTAAGGGGGAACTCTGCTGGACACACATGGATATAAGGGGGTCTCTTCTGGGCACACATGAATGTAAGGGAGAACTCTGCTGGGCACACATTGATGTAAGGGAGAACTCTGCTGGGCACACATTGATGTAAGGGGGAACTCTGCTGGGCACACCTTGATGTAAGGGGAAACTCTGCTGGGCACACATAGATGTAAGGGGGGACTCTGCTGGGCACACACTGATGTAAGGGTGACACTGTTGGGCAGACATAGATGTAAGGGGGAACTTTGTTGGGCATACATAGATATAAGGGGGGATTCTGCTGGGCACACATGGATGTAAGGGGGGATGCTGCTGGGCACACATAGATGTAAGCGGGTCTCTGCTGGGCACACATGGATGTAAGAGGAAACTCTGCTGGGCACACATGGATATAAAGGGGGTCTCTGCTGGGCACACGTCAATGTTAGTTGTGCACTCTGCTGGGCACACATGGATGTAAGAGGAAACTCTGCTGGGCACACATGGATATAAAGGGGGTCTCTGCTGGGCACACATGGATATAAGGGGGATACTGCTAAGCAGACATGGATATAAGGGGGATACTGCTAAGCAGACATGGATGTAAGGGGGGACTCTGCTGAGCACACATGGATATAAGGGGGGGAACTGTGCTGAGCACACCTAGATGTGGGAGGGATGAGGACTCTGCTTGGCACTCCTGGATATAGAAGGGGGGGGTCTGTTGGGCACTCCTGGATGTAGAGGGGATGGGGGGCTGATGGGCACTGCTAGATGTAAGGGGGGGGGGCTTTAAGGGGCACTTTTGGATATAGATGAGGGGGGGGGGGTTGTTTACACCAATGATTTTTTTCGACCTGTGAATTTTAGAGACTGACAAGAGTTTATTGATTTTGGTCAAAACGATTCAGTCTGGTAGACTTGAAGTCAGATAAGAGGAACAGCAAACAGCCATTTCCTGCCCACATGCATACCCATCAGCAGAATACGCATGTCACTTCTCAGAGTGGGTTTCCTGACGGTTACAACAGTTACACATGCCTGTGCAGTGTGAGTGGGTACAGTCATCTGTAGCTGACATTGGGAGAAACATGTGACATGCTGACAATGCAGATGGGGACAGAGTTTTTGTCACCATATAGGATGGGGTAAACCCTAAGAGCTCTGTCATATGAACATTGGGTCCGCCTGCCCGATTTTCAGGTGGACCCAATCAGAACCTTCATTCTCCTCTATGGAGCAGCGGGTGTAAACGGACATGTGTCCGTTTACACCCACCGACATCTGATCTGCCAAAAAAGGGATGGATGGGGATCCAATTCCCTTTCCATCCGTTGGATTGGATCGGATGAAAACGGACAGGCGGTCCATTTTCATCCGACCGCCCATTGAGGAGAGAGAGCTGCTCTGTGTCTGCACTGCAGCAGTGGAGCAGAGACAGAGCAGACATCCGCTTGCTCGGCGGGGATCAAAGGAGAGATGCTGAGCAATCAGATCCGCTAAACGGGTCCGCCCCGTGTGAAAGGACCCATACTGAATGCATTTTGCTTGCTAACACACTGTGGGGTTGATTTACTGAAACTGGAGCACTCAGAATCTGGTTCAGCTGTGTATGGCAGCCAATCAGCTTCTAACTTTAGCTTGTTCAATTAAAGCGGAGCTCCACCCAAAAAGGGAAGTTCCGCTTTAAGGACTGCTCCCCATTAAGGATTGGTACCTTTGGGTGGCGGGTACCCGATTTTGACAGGTACCCGCTCCCACTTCCAGTCCGATTGCCTAGGCGATCGGAAGCGGAAGGTGTCCTCCCTCCCTCCCTGTAGTCTTTTGGGACGCATGACAGGTCCCAGAAGACTACAGGACCATTCATGAAGCGCAGCGCTACTTGCGCATGCGCAGTGGGTACCCGCAAGCTGTCACAGCCGGGTGCCCACACTGAAGATGCCAGCCTCCTGGAATACAGGACGGCTGGTGAAACGGGCTGCAGGGGACACACCATGGGACCGAGGGACAGGTAAGTGGTTGTTTTTTAAAAGTCAGCAGCTACAGTTTTTGTAGCTGCTGACTTTTATTTTTTGACAGGGTGAGTGGAACTCCGCTTTAAGTTTTTGCAAAAAAAACCTGGAAGCTGATTGGTTTCTATGCAGCGCTGCACCAGATTTTTCCACTCTCCAGTTTTAGTAAATAAACCCGTGTGTGTCATAAACAACTGCCACGGCTTTTCTTTTATTTATTTATTTTGATGAAATACCTGTCTTCACCATTTTTTTCACGCTTTGTTGTATTTCAATGCTACTGATCTCATGCAGCCTCTTTGCAGTTACTTCCAGACTACTGGCACCCTAGCAATGTCTGCATGGCATTTCAGAAGTGATAACTACTAAGCCACTGGACTGACCCTGATCAGACATGACCTAGACAAGATCTTGGGGCCTCTAGTCTTCAGCAGAATCCCACGCCTCGGAGGTTTATCTCTTTTACACACACTTTGCCATGTGAGTAGAATTGCAACAAACTGTTGAGCTTCCTTCTTCTAAGGTGGATGGTGCAGAGCTAGGCATCCAAACAGCGTAAGGGCCATTGGCCTACCTGAGGGAACTGAGGGTTTGCAACCTGAACAGTTTGCTGATAACATACACAAGTAACTAGTGCAGCGCAACTCTCTAAATTAATAATTGTTGGAAAACAAAAGTAATTCTGTGAAAAACATATATAAGAGACCCTCAAACCTAAAGTCCATAAACAATCCCCCCAGTGATGAGTATACCTACTGAGGAAGACCTGAGAGGGGGTGCAACGCGTCTAGGAAGGAGGATCCGGCATTGTGGTACCACGCCGCCACGTTCTTGCTAGCAGAGCGGTGAGCTGGATGTGAACGCATTTTATGCTTTTCATGTTTTTCTGCCTGTAAGTGCAATTTTAGTGGGGGATACAATAAAGTGTAACTAGTGCAGCGCAACTCTCTAATTTAATAATTGTTGGAAAACAAAAGTAATTCGGTGAAAAACATATATAAGAGACCCCCAAACGTAAAGTCCATAAACAATCCCCCCTGTGACGAGTATCACTTCCGTGAATATCTTCTCCTTTGATAATATACAGTGTTCTGCCCAGGGGCGGACTGACCATTTGGAAACTTGGGCACTGCACGAGGGCAGTGGGTCAGTAGGGGGCCCCATGAGATGCCCCTGGTACCTTTTTCATAGGCTTTTTTGAGTTTGGGCAAGGACACAGGGGCCCCATGATCCCCTATTGCCCGGGGGCCCCATGAGTTGTCAGTCCGCCACTGGTTCCGCCACCACACCAGGTGAAATACCTGCTCACCTCAAAAAAAAATAATATGCCCTCATCTGGGTGTTTTCAAACTCCTCAATCACAGTGGCATATCTTCTTCTTATATCCTCTCGCCTTCCACTTACTCTGACATCAGGCCAAAAATTATCACATGCAACAGAAAGACAAAAACATAGTGCTCTCTGTATAACACTTCATTGTATCCCCCACTAAAATTGTACTTACAGGCATGAAAACATGAAAAGCATAAAATATGTCCACATGCAGCTCACCGCTCCGCTAGTGAGAACGTGGCGGCGTGGTACCACAATGCCGGATCCTGCTTCCTAGACACGTTGCGCCCCCTCTCAGGGCTTCCTCAGTACATAGACAGCCATTCTACATCTATGGCTTTGGCTATATAAAGGTTTTGGTAGAACGGCCCTGTACCTACTGAGGAAGCCCTGAGAGGGGGCGCAACGCGTCTAGGAAAGAGGACCCGGCATGTGGTACCATGCCACCATGTTTTTGCTAGCGGAGCGGTGAGCATTTTATGCTTTTCTTGTTTTTATGCCTGTAAGTGCAATTTTAGTGGGGGATACAATAAAGTGTAACTAGTGCAGCGCAACTTTCTAAATTAATAATTGTTGGAAAACAAAAGTAATTCTGTGAAAATCATATATAAGAGACCCCCAAACTTAAAGTCCATAAAAACAATCCCCCCTGTGACGAGTATCACTTCCATGAATATCTTCTCCTTTGATAATATTCAGTGTTCCGCCACCACACCAGGTGAAATACCTGCTCACCTCAAGAAAAAATAATATGCCCTCATCTGGGTGTTTTCAAACTCCTCAATCACAGTGGCATATCTTCTTCTTATCTCCTCTCGCCTTCCACTTACTCTGACATCAGGCCAAAAATTATCACGTGCAACAGAAAGACAAAAACATAGTGCTCTCTGTATAACACTTCATTGTATCCCCCACTAAAATTGTACTTACAGGCATGAAAACATGAAAAGCATAAAATGTGTCCACATGCAGCTCACCGCTCAGCTAGCGAGAACGTGGCGACGTGGTACCACAATGCCGGATCCTCCTTCCTAGACACGTTGCACCCCCTCTCAGGGCTTCCTCAGTACATAGACAGCCATTCTACACCTATGGCTGTGGCTATATAAAGGTTTTGGTAGAACGGCCCTGTAGGAAGCCCTGAGAGGGGGCGCAACACGTTTAGGAAGGAGGAGCCGGCATTGTGGTACCACTCCACCACATGCTTGCTAGCTGTGAAACTTGGACACGTGACTCAAAAAAAAACGCACCAAAAATGCAACTGCAGGTTCCATTCCAAAACGTTTTTGGTGCGGTTTCTATTCATTTCAATGGAGTGGTGCATTCTTGGTGCGTTTTTTTATAAGGCTGCTTTCATGCTTTCTTTGCTCCTTTGCAAAAACTCTGTAAAAACGCCTTTTTGATGCGTCTTCCAAAAAATGCACCAAAAATACAACTGCGAGTTTAATTTTAAAATGTTTTTGGTGCGGTTTCCATATACTTCAATAGAGTTGTGCGTTTATGGTACATTTTTATAAGGCTGCTTTCATACTGCTCCTTTGCAAAAACTCTCTAAAAACGCCTTTTTGATGCGTCTTCCAAAAAATGCACCAAAAACGCAACTGCGAGTTCCATTCTAAAATGTTTTTGGTGCGGTTTCCATATACTTCAATAGGGTTGTGCGTTTATGGTGCATTTTTATAAGGCTGCTTTCATACTGCTCCTTTGCAAAAACTCTATAAAAACGCCTTCTTGATGCGTCTTCCAAAAATTGCACCAAAAACGCAACTGCGAGTTCCATTCTAAAATGTTTTTGGTGCGGTTTCCATATACTTCAATAGGGTTGTGCGTTTATGGTGCATTTTTATAAGGCTGGTTTCATACTGCTCCTTTGCAAAAACTCTAAAAAAACCGCCTTTTTGATGCGTCTTCCAAAAAATGCACCAAAAACGCAACTGCGAGTTCCATTCTAAAATGTTTTTGGTGCGGTTTCCATATACTTCAATAGGGTTGTGCGTTTATGGTGGTGCATTTTTATAAGACTGCTTTCATACTGCTTCATTGCAAAAACTCTGTAAAAACGCACACGCGCTTTTTGCTGCGTTTTGTAATGCATTTTCTTCTGCTTTTTTTTTAACTGAAAAAAACTAATCAGAGTGAAGGGGCCCTTAAAAAATAAAAATAAAGTTGTATTCACCCCAGGAAGAGCCATGACAGGCTGTACTACGAAGGGAGTTTGATATATTTCCACCGAGTCTGACGGCAGACGGACACATTGGACTTTAAAATGTTCTCACTATTGGCCAGCAGATTGACATGTGATTGGCAGATGTGACCTTTGATTGACATGTGACATGGTCCAACCTTTCGAACAATGATATGAAATGCAGCCAATGAGGCATTCTGATGCGGAAGTGATCATTGGGGGGGGGGGGGGGGGGTTCACCATGCTGTCCATAGCCGGGCCCAGGAGCACACAGAGTGAACATTCTGCACGGTTTAGGATCAGAGGGATGAACCAGACAGGAGATCAGAAGCTGCGGCCCTGTACAGGACAATGGCAGGGCTCAGAGTTCATTGGGAGACAGATCAATAGAAAGGGTTACATGGAGACTGGAAAAGGCAGAGCGGTTCTAGTCGCAGCATGGAGTCGGATGTGGACCGGTTGCATTTAAAGCTGAACTCCGACCCACAGCTGAAATATGCATCCACAACAAAAGATTTACAGTCCTTTCCAGGCAGATATGAGATTCAGCGACACCTGCCGTGCTGCATAGTCAGGTGGGTGACCTCACTTTTCCTTACTAAAGATACAAATGCTCTCACTTGGCCACCACTTTGTCCCGAGCCTGCTGATTGGACAAAGAAGGATCAGCAGCACAGTGATCAACCCAGTATTTTTTTCTCACTCGCTTTGAAAAAAAAAAAATAGAAAAGTAAACAGTGCGATGCACCGCTTGGGAAACATCAGCACCGCTCTCTTCATCACATCGCACACTAGCGGCCGTAGTATAACGCAGCTGATGGTGTGAACAAGCCCTTAGGTCAGTTGTTCTCAAGCTTCCTAAAGCCGTCACCCTTTAATACAGTTCCTCATGTTGTGGTGACCCCCAACCATAAAATTATTTACCCAGTAATTATAATTCATGAGTGTCGTTTTACCTCCAATACTGCTGCTTTCAACACAGTAGCTGCTTTTAACAGAGTAGCTGCTTTCAGCACAGTAGCTGCTTTTAACAGAGTAGCTGCTTTCAGCACAGTAGCTGCTTTTAACAGAGTAGCTGCTTTCAACACAGCAGCTGCTTTCTACACAGTAGCTGCTCTTTACACATCAGAAATATGTGTTTTCCGATGGTCTTAGGCGACCCCTGTGAAAGGGTCGTTCGACCCCCAAAGGGGTCGCGACCCACAGGTTGAGAACCACTGCCTTAGGTTGACTGCGATGCAATATCACTTAAAGTGCTTGTTCACACTAGCAATTGAGGGGCTGTAAAACCCTGAGGTTGTGCAGTGCCTTTTCCGCCCCCCCCCCAGCCCGCAACTCCCTCTAGCTGCAGAGGCAGCAGCTGGGGGTGAACACATGCAAGAGCCACAATGCTTTGCTTCGTGGCAGGAACTATACCCCCTGTTACTTTCACTATGTCCGCTGAATGCAACCCATTCAAGTGAATGAGGCCATTCTGCAAGCACCCCGTAATGGCATGCAGTGCACGCCGTTGTGACACACTACTGCAGCAATCAAGGGATTAAAGCAGGTGGTGAGGAAGAAATACAACGCCTCCTCGCCTCCTGTCAAATGCTCTCTGAAGAGCAATCCAGATGCGAATCACTCTGCAGAGACCAAAGCTTGTGTAAACGAGCCTTAAGTGGCTCACACTGCAAGCCCCCCCCCCCCCCCCCCCCCCGGTGCTAGTCTAATATAAAATTAGACTTCAGGTACTTATGTTAGCATTAATCAAAATACATTTGTTTAATGGATTTAACCCTAGGTGCACACTTATGCGGATTTCAGTGCATTTTCCAGTTTGCAGAAATGCACTACAGTCCATTTAACATGATTTCCTATGGATCTAGTTCACATTGGTGCGTTTTGAGCCAGCGTGCTTTTTGGAATGAGTCAGAGACTTTTTTTCCTGTGGCAGATGGTGTTATGCATGTAATAGACTTTAATGGACCTGCACCAAAAAGCAAGTGTTGTGTTTTTTGCAGCATTTTGCTTTTTTTTTTTTTTGCTAATAGAAATGTATGACAGTTCTTTTCATGTAGTGGGACTTTGATATGACTTTACACTCTCTGGCATTCAAGTAGCATCAAAGTAGTGCAGGAATAATTCTTAAAGCAGAGCTCCACCCAAAAGGGGAAGTCCTGCTTTAAGGACTGCTCCCCCGCTCCCCATTAAGAATTGGCACCTTTGGGGAGTGTGGGGGGGGGGGGAGCGGGTACCCGAATTTGACAGGTACCCGCTCCCACTTCCGGTCCGATCACCTAGGAGATCAGAAACGGAAGGTGTCCCTCCCTCCCCGTAGTCTTTTTGGACACGTGACAGGTCCCAGATGACTACAGGACCATTCATGAAACGCAGCACTACTCGCGCATGCGCAGTGGGCATCCGGCTGTGAAGCTGCAAAATGTCACAGCCAGGTGCCCACACTGAAGATGCCGGTCTCCTGGAATACAGGACAGCCGGTGAATCGGGCTGCAGGGGACACACTGCGGGACAGAGGAACAGGTAAGTGGCTGTTTTTTAAAAATCAGCAGCTACAGCTATCAGCAGCTGACTTTATTTTTTGATAGGTTGAGTGGAACTCCGCTTTAAAGTAGTAGTAAACCCCCCAAAAAAATCTAACTTCTCCCTGCAAGGTAAGAGCATAATGTACTCCAGTGTTGCGCTGTCACGGCTCCCCAGGGCATCTTCACCTGGTCTTCCTTCGGGGTTCCGGGGCTGCAGCCGTTTGACTCGCCGAGCCACGATGATGTCACTCCTGCGCATGTGTACAGGAGTCTCAGCCACGGCATGGCTTTCTGAATGGACAGCACGCGGTCCAATGAAAGCACAGTGCGCATGTGCCAGTTACATCACTGGCGCTCTTAAAGTAAATATCTCCTAAACGGCACAAATTTAGGAGAAATTTACATTACCTAGAGGTAAGCCTTATTAAAGGCTTATCTGTAGCTAAAACATGAAATAAAGACTTTACTATCACTTCGTAATATGTTGTTATAGGCTAGGTTTACATCTATGTAGGTAGAGGTTGATGCGTTTTTCCGGCGTGTTTTTTTGCAGTGTGTGTTATGTTTTTGAACACGCGTTTTTGCTGTGTTTTGCTTCTTTTTTTTTTTGCTAACAGAAGTTTATGACAGTTCTGTTTATGTAGAGCGACTTTGATGCAACTTTATACTCTCTGGCACTCAAGTGGCATCAAAGCAGTGATAGGAACCTTAACCACTTGCCAACCGCGCTATAGCTGAATGACGGCTACAGCGCGGTTGTACAGTTCTGGAAGGGCGTCATATGAAGTCCTCCCAGAACGTGCCCTCCTGCGCGCCCACAACGGCACGCCCCTGGCGCTCTCCATGACCGGACACAGTACTTTCCTGTGATAGCGTGAGGAAAGTGCAGCCGATAACCGGAAACTGTATTTACTCTGTGATCTGCTGTGTCATTGGACACAGCTGATCACATGGTAAAAGGCCGCTGTGATTGGCCTTTTACCATGTGATCAGCTGTGTCCAATGACACAGTAAATCACAGATTAAATACAGTTTCCGGTTATCGACTGCACTTTCCTCACGCTATCACAGGAAAGTACTGCCAATAACCTGCAAATAACACTGAGGACATCTCACTGATCATCAGTGCCCTGATGATCAATGCCAGGGGCGGACTGACCATTTGGAAACCTGGGCACTGCCCGAGGGCCCGGGGTCAGTAGGGGGCCCCATGAGATGCCCCTGGTACCTTTTTCATAGGCTTTTTTGAGTTTGGGCAAGGACACAGGGTGCCCCATGATCCCCTATTGCCCGGGGGCCCCATGAGTTTGTCAGTCTGCCCCTGATCAGTGCCCAGCAGTGCCACCCAGCAGTGCTCCCACCAGTGCCCAGCAGTGCCACCCATCAGTGCTGCCAAGCAGTTGTGCTCATCAGTAGCCAGCAGTGCCGCCCATCAGTGCCTAGCAGTGCCGTCAGTCAGTGCCGCCAGTCAGATCCGCCCATCAGTGCCGCCTATCAGTGCCCATAATTGCTGCATATCAGTGCCTTCTCATCAATGCACACCAGTGCTGCCTCATCAGTGCAGCCTATCAGTGCCCATCAGTGCTGCCTATCCATGCCACTTCATCAGTGCAGCCTATCAGTGCCCATCAGTGCTGCCTGTCCATGCCACCTCATCAGTGCTGCCTATCAGTGCATCCTCATGAACGCACATCAGTGAAGGAGAAAAATTACCTGTTTGCAAAATTTTATAATAGAAACAAAGAAAACCACCCCAGTGGTGATTAAATACCACTAAAAGAAAGCTTTATTTGTGTGAACAAAATTATAAAAATTTCATATGGGTACAATGTTGCATGACCGCGCAATTGCCATTCAAAGTGTGAGAACGCTGAAAGCTGAAAACTGGCCTGGGCATGAAGGGGGCAAAATTGCCCAGTAGGCAAATGGTTAATGTGTCAAAAGTCGCATGTTAGGGTTAGATGTTAGGATTAGTGTTAGAGATAGAGTCAGGGTTAGTCGGAATTGTTAGGGGTGAAACGCTAATAATTACCCTAATAATAACCCTAGCTCTTAACCCTAACCCTGCCATGCGACTTTTGTCACATAGAGGTTCCTGTACTACTTTGATGTGACTTTGATGCTACTTGAGTGCCAGAGAGTGTAAATTCACATCAAAGTCGCACTACAAGACAACTGTCATTATTTTTATTAGAAAAAAAAAGCAAGAAGCTGCAAAATAGCATGTTCAAAAATGCAAAATGTGCTGTAAAAACGCATCAGCCGCAATCTGCATAGATGTGAACCTAGCCTATACCAACATTAAGAGAATGATCATGTGACTATAGTAAAGACAGGCTCACTTTACCCACTTGAGCAGGGCAATTGCGCGGTCATGCAACACTCTGACATTTATATAATTTCTTTTGCACAAATAGAGTGTTCTTTTGGTGGTATTTGATCACCGCTTGTTTTTTGGTTTTTATGATATAAACCAAAAGAGATTGAAAATGTTGGAAAAAATCCTGATATTTTCTACATTCTGTTATAAAATATATCCAATAAAATCAAATTTCTTCATACATTTCTGCTACATGTCTTTGGTAAACAAAAATCCCAATGCGTGTATATTGATTGGTTTGTGTGAAAGTTATGACGTCTACAAACTATGGTATAGATACTGGAATTTACCAAGCTATAGACGCTACACTATAATGTGGTGATCAGTGACTTACAGTGTGACTGTGATAGTGTGGCAGGCAATCTGGCGCTGACACTGCCTGGGAGGGACACTACCTGACACTGACATTGTTAGTGATACTAAACAGTGATCAGTGATAATACTGTACACTGAACACAGCAGTAGTGACACTAATAGGTGACAGGGTTGATCATAAGGTCAGTCAAGGGGTTAACTGTGTGCCAAACAAGTGTATTTGTGTTGCTTTTACTCACAGGATCTGGCTGTCTTTTCTCCCTGAATCAGAATTGACTTCAGGGAGAAGAAACAGCCAGATCGCTGTACTGTATTTGATGTTCTGTGTGTTTGTAAACACAGAACCCTGTGCTGTGATTGTCAACAGCCGATAAGCAGCTGTACAGCCAAAATCATTGGCTGTAACCTACTGACAAACTTGTAGTGTGTCCAATCAGAGCACAGATCAGCAGGGGGCACTTGCACGTGTGCCCAAAAGCCAGGAACTGCACCGAGATGTACCAACACTGATACTGTACTAATGGAACTGGGCAGGAAGGGGTTAATATCTGGGGTGACCAAAGGGCTAACAGTGTGATGTGTGTGTTTTACTGTGTGCTTTACTGTGTAAGCACACCGCTTTGTATGGCTGTGCTATGCAGAGCCATACAAAGCAGTGTGCAGGAGCTGACAGGGGAGAGATCTGTATTGTTTACATACAGGTCTCTCCCTTGTCAGTGATAATCAGTGATCACTGGGTGCTGGTTGGGAATCACCGACCAGGACCCGGTGATTGACAGCTGAGGCCACCAATGGCACAGCCCTTCCGCCCTGTAGCACTATTTTTGGGGAAATATACGGGAAAGCGGTTAAGCAGGCAATTGATGAGTCGAAAACGGAATGAAAATTCTTAGTCGTTATTTTTTTGCATCATTAGTGTGCCAGCTGCAAAACGCGATTTTTGTGTCGTAATCAAAAGTGCCTGATTTAACATGCTGGATTTTGTTTTGAAAAAAAAACAAAACAAATGATGGCACAACCGTATGCACCATTTTTGTTTTTTGATGGACAGAACGTTCAGTTTTTGACTCATCTATGGCTGACCTTGGTCTAGGTAGGCCAAAAGCCCATTTTACTTACTTTAACCCTTGGTCATGTGATGCACCAGGTCTCCAATCTTCTTCCCTGCAGAGGGGGAGGGTCCTTCTTCAGGGTGTCTATGTTGCTGCCTGAGAGGTGTGGACACTTCCCATTGGTTGTCCAGTGGTGGGGTTCTTCCAGGCTCCAGAAGACTGTGCAACATGATGGCATCACGGAAAAAAAAAAGGGGCACTGTGAGCACAGGCTGCAGACATAATGAGCAATCAGTCCTTGCTGAGTGTGTGTGTGGGGGGGGGGATTGGTAACTCAAAGTTAAGTTTTAGGCCTCACACACAGCTCTTCTTCCTGGCAGGAGAAAAGCAGCATGGAAAAACGTGTTTTTACATGCGTTTAGAAGCGTTCAGGTGCGTCAAGCATATGGGCATTCATTCATTTCATTGGCCAGAATATTAAAGTGGTTGTAAACCCTTCCATATATCCAGCGAAGTGACTCCCTTCAGGTGATACACAGAAATGAGTCAAATCCTTCTACATAAGTTGTACCAGTTTATCTGTTTCTTCTCTACATCTGAATTTATAAAGCTTGTCAGAGAGTTCAGAAAAAAGGGGATGGAGAGCTGAAATTACACACTGCAGAGATCAGTGGGGAGAGCTCTGAGCGCTGATTGGAGAGAAGAGAGCCCCATATTCATTGTCCAGAATATTAAAGTGGTTGTAAACCCTTCCATATACCCAGCGAAGTGACTGCCTTCAGGTGATACACAGAAATTAATCAAATCCTTCTACATAAGTTGTACCAGTTTATCTGTTTTCTTCTCTACATCTGTTCAAAGAACTGAATTTATAAAGCTTGTCTGAGAGTTCAGAAAAAAGGGGATGGAGAGCTGAAATTACACACTGCAGAGATCAGTGAGGAGAGGTCTGAGAGCTGATTGGAGAGAAGAGACACCCCCCCCCCCCCCCAACAACTTTAATTTATTCTGGCCATTGAAATGAATGAACGCTTCTCTTCTAAATGTGATTTTGGTGCATTCAGGTTTCTGCCTTTAAATGCCTATGTGTGCATGGAGACATAGACTAACATAGAGGGGCATTTGGGAGCAGAAAAAAAAAAAAATCAAACGCCTGTAAATAGACGTTTGACAGCTGCAGTGTGCATGAGGTCTGACAGTAACCCTTTACCCCTGGTTCACATGGACTCCCGTGCCCCGGGACACGCAGGGAAGTCCATGCACTTCTGCAAACGCAGAACGCACGGGAACCTTGGTTCCCAGTACGGTTGTGATTTCCAGTGCGGGTGACGTGCCATTAGAAATAATGGCACCCGCACGCGGGTCCGCATTCCTCTGTGCGGGTGGTGCAGCTGTACAGATTTTTTTGCAGATCCGCAGCGGCACCACCTGCACAGATGTGACCCTAGCCTTAAAGATGAGCTCAGTCTTGCACAGTTGTACCGCCTCCTTTCCTGGACTGAACTTCCTCTGATTTCACTGCACACTGTGAGCTTCTCACAATGAGCATTAGAAGCTGCAGGAAGTCATACACAGCCCACCGTATTTCTTGGTGGGATGACATCTAGCACCATTTACCATTTTCCTTTCTAGCTCAATCCTTCAATTCATTGGATTTCAGCTACTTCTATTATGGATGCTATACATGACATGTGGGTGTTACCAGGGGCGGACTGACAACTCATGGGGCCCCCGGCAATAGGGGATCATGGGGCCCCTGTGTCCTTGCCCAAACTCAAAAAAGCCTATGAAAAAGGTACCAGGGGCATCTCATGGGGCCCCCTGCTGACCACAGGCCCTCGGGCAGTGCCTGAGTTTCCAAATGGTCAGTCCGCCCCTGGGCGTTACCTATTGCACTCCGCCAGACTGACACCTATTCATCAAAGCATTTTGATATTTGCACAACTCCTCCAAAAAGTTAGCCCACTGATGGCTAGTGTGAAACAGGGTGCTGTGATGTTTTCAGGAAGCTATGTACAGCACCCTGTCATCCCCTCACCCCAGCCATGATCTGCCTGAATTGCATGACAAGGACAGAGACCCAGTGATGACATTACTGGGTCTATAATAAGGTGTGTAATAAAAACGGAAAAGGTTTTATTGAAAAGATAAAAAAATCATTAGCATGTTGATGTTGGGGTAAGGAGGAACCGGGGAAGGCACAATCTAGGCAGATTAAATTTCAGCCTTATGTCCAGTTATTAATGGGTGGGCTGTGTTTTTTCTTTTTCTGTCTGACAGGTTTACTTAAAATTCTCCAGGACAGCTGCTGGAAGGCGTCTTAAAGCTTGCTGTACAAATACTGACCAGCATTAACAAGCTGAAGCCTGCATGGACAAGGTAAGCAGGTACAGGATTCAGTTCAGTTGTCAGCAAAAGATTTAACCCCTTGTTGGTGACCTCCTCTGCTGAAAACGGCACGTTAAACAAAAAAAAAAAAAAAGGGGGTTAAATTTCTTGCTAACGGGCAATGCAAATGTCACATGTAGTCTGCCCATCACACGACAATTGCGGCAGAACAGCACTGCGACTGCGTTTTAAAGTGCCATTAAACATAATGGGTCCTGAACAAGTGGTTCTGCGATTTGTCATTTTAGCAGAGCGTTTTGAAAGCTTGTGGCATTTGAATGGCACTTGAAAATGCGGTGTGGTTCTGCTGCAATTGTCGTGCGATAAATCACAATGCATTTGCGACAAATCGCATCCCATGACGCTTCTGATCCAAAAGAAGTTTAGTAACTTCTATTGGGTGTCGAATGATGCGGATTAGTGCGATTGCAGCACAGTTTTTCACGCGACAATCGCAGCAGAGCGTTTTCAAGTACCATTAAAGTTAATGGGACCTGAACATGTGGTTCTGCAATTTGTCATTTTAGCATAGCGTTTTAAAAACGGAATCACAGCGATTCTGCCCCACAATTCAAAATGCTCTCATGTGAATGGGGCCTAAGGCTAGGTTCACATCTATGCAGGTTGCATTTGATCCATTTTTGCATTGCATTTTGCGTTTTTGCTGCATTTTTGATGCGTTTTGCTTTTTATTTTTTTCTTCTTGTATACCTGCTGATCGTCTGTGGCCAATCACAGCACAGAGACTTGTGTATTTGTAAACACAACACACAAATTCTTGCTGGATTTCTTCCTGCTTTCAGTTACCATTCAGAACTGACCCAGCCAGATCTGTAAGTAAGTAAAAGCAGCACACATACACTTGTTAGGCACACAGTTAACCCCTTTGATTGCCCTCCTTATCATTCAGCCAGTGTAATTAGTACAGTGTACAGTATTATCACTGATCACTGTATTGGTGTCACTAGCAATGTCAGTGTCAGTTAGACAGTTAGGGGTTTATTTACTAAAGCTGGAGAGTCCAAAATCAGACTCCCTTCTGCATAGAAACCAATCAGCTTCCAGGTTTCATTGCCAAAGCTTCATTGAACAAGCTGAGGTTAGAAGCTGATTGGTTTCTATGCAGAAGGGAGTCTGATTTTGGACACTCCAGCTTTAGTAAATAAACCCCTTAGTGTCTCTCCCAGCCAGTTGCCAGTTTGCCCGCCATCACGGTCACGCTATAAGTCACTGATCACCGCAATTACTACTATAGTGTCTGTACAGATCAGAATCCTTATCACGGTCAGAATTATACTATAGTGTCTGTACAGATCAGAATCCTTATCACGGTCAGAATTATACTAGAGTCCCCAGTAGTATAGTGTCCCTGATTGATTTTTATTAAAGATATGCAGCAGAATCAGGGGCAGACTGACAACTCATGGGGCCCCCAGGCAATAGGGGATCATGGGCCCCTGTGTCATTGCCCAAACTCAAAAAAGCCTATGAAAAAGGTACCAGGGGCATCCCATGGGGCCCCCTACTGACCCCGGGCCCTCGGGCAGGGCCCGAGTTTCCAAATGGTCAGTCCGCCTCTGAGCAGAATACATTTAGGCCTAAGTTTATGAAGAAATTTGATTTTATTTGGATATAAATTATAACAGAAAGTAGTAAATATTGGGGTTTTTATTTTTCAAAATGTTTGGTTTTTGGTTTTTTTCGTTTATATGATAACAAATAAAAAAGTAGTGATCAAATACCACCAAAAGAAAGCTCTACTTGTGTGAAAAAAATTATATAAATTTCATTTGTGTACAGTGTTGCATGACCCGTATGATGCTGGGCTTTCGGTGGTTATACAGGAGTGATACTGGAGCTGCAGGCATCTCCCCGCTACCGTGTTTTAGAGTGGTCGGCTCTCTTGTAATATCAAGTGAAGTGGCTAACGAGTCGCTCGATTGCTTGTACAAGCAGCGGGAGAGGATGTACCCACCTCCCGCCACCTTCTACGGCTCTCTTGAGATCTCCCGTTCCACTAGGAGTCCCGAGCAACCAGCTGGCACATCCGCCACTTGGCTGGACAGCCGAACAAAGCTGGGATCAGCTTTGATCGGCTCTTCCAGAAGCGATGATCTGACATCACTTCCGGTTTACTCGGAAACTTTCAGCGCCATTTAAAAAAATCTGAAAGCATTCAAAAACACAAATCTTGTATTTTGAATTCTTTCAAGTGCCGAGGAGAGATTTGGGGTCTTTTGGACCCCATATCCCTCTATAAAGAGTACCTGTCACGTGTCAATTGCTGTCACAGGGGATGTTTACATTTCTTGTGACAGCAATAAAAGTGATAAAAAGAATTTCAAGCGAATTTCAAGTGTAAAAATAAAATTTTAATTTAATTAAAAATCAAAGTGGCCCTGTTCCCCCGTGTTTGCACGCAAAGGCGAAATGCACGCGTAGGTCACGCACGCAAAAAGCAAGCGTCCCACACATATCGCCACAAATGTCAGATCATGGGCAGTAATTCTAGCACTAGACCTCCTTTGTGAATCTGAAGTAGTAACCTGTAAAGGCACTTAAAGTGTCACCTATGGATAGTAAAATTTACATCGTTTGTTGCTGTTGCACAGGTGTACACAATTTTAAAGCATTACATGTTTGGTATCTATTTACTTGGCTTAACATCCTTAAAAATAACATATAAAGCCATTTACAACTCCACTCCAAACTACATCACCAATCATATCTCCAAATACCACCCAAACCGTCCTCTCCACTCATCCCAAGATCTCCTGCTCTCTAGCTCCCTCGTCTCCTCTGTTCATGCTCATCTCCAGGACTTCTCCAGAGCCCTCCCATCCTCTGGAACTCTCTACCCCAATCTGTCCGACTATCTCCTACTCCATCCACTTTTAGGCGATCCCTGAAAACCTCTCTCTTCAGGGAAGCCTATCCTGCCGTCAGCTAATAACCAAATGCTCTATTTTCCCCATCAGTTCATCCCCCACAGTTATTACCTTTTGTTCCACCAGCCCCTCCCTATTAAGTTGTAAGCTCCCAGGAGCAGGGCCCTCCTAACTTGAACTGTATCCTTGCTGTATTGTCTCCCTTTATATTGTAAAGCGCTGAGCAAACTGTTGGCGCTATATAAAGCCTCTATAATAATAATAATCTTTTATATTTAACAAAAAGATATTTGTTATGTATTGTGTTTTTTTGCAATAAAATTTATCAAAGTGTATTTTTTTCCCCAAAACTGCATTTGAAAAACCTCTGCACAAATACTCTGTAACATAAAAAAATGCAAAAACCACCAATTTATTTTCTAGGGCCTCTGCTTTTTTCAAAAATTTTTTTTATATATATATATATATATATATATATATATATATACACACACATACACACACAGTATATATACAGTGGGGCAAAAAAGTATTTAGTCAGCCACCAATTGTGCAAGTTCTCCCACTTAAAAAGATGAGAGAGGCCTGTAATTGGCATCATAGGTAGACCTCAACTATGAGAGACAAAATGAGAAAAAAAATCCAGACAATCACATTGGCTGATTTGGAAAGAATTTATTTGCAAATTATGGTGGAAAATAAGTATTTGGTCACCTACAAACAAGCAAGATTTCGGGCTCTCACAGACATGTACCTTCTTCTTTAAGAGGCTCCTCTGTCCTGCACTCATTACCTGTATCAATGGCACCTGTTTGAACTTGTTATCAGTATAAAAGACACTTGTCCACAATCTCAAACAGTCACACTCCAAACTCCACTATGGTGAAGACCAAAGAGCTGTCGAAGGACACCAGAAACAAAATTGTAGACCTGCACCAGGCTGGGAAGACTGAATCTGCAATAGGCAAGCAGCTTGGTGTGAACAAATCAATGTGGGAGCAATAATTAGAAAATGGAAGACATACAAGATCACTGATAATCTCCCTCGATCTGGGGCTCCACGCAAGATCTCACCCCGTGGGGTCAAAATGATCACAAGAACGGTGAGCAAAAATCCCAGGACCACACGGGGGGATCTAGTGAATGACCTGCAGAGAGCTGGGACCAACGTAACAAAGGCTACCATCAGTAACACAGTACGCCGCCAGGGACTCAGATCCTGCAGTACCAGACGTGTCACCCTGCTTAAGCCAGTACATGTCCGGGCCCGTCTGAAGTTGGCTAGAGAGCATTTTCATGATCCAGAAGAGGATTGGGAGAATGTCATATGGTCAGATGAAACCAAAATAGAACAGTTTGGTAGAAACACAACTCGTCGTGTTTGGAGGAGAGAGAATGCTGAGTTGCATCCAAAGAACACCATACCTACTGTGAAGCATGGGGGTGGCAACATCATGCTTTGGGGCTGTTTCTCCGCAAAGGGACCAGGACGACTGATCCATGTACAGGACAGAATGAATGGGGCCATGTATTGTGAGATTTTGAGTGCAAACCTCCTTCCATCAGCAAGGGCATTGAAGATGAAACGTGGCTGGGTCCTCCAACATGACAATGATCCCAAACATACCGCACGGGCAATGAAGGAGTGGCTTCGTAAGAAGCATTTCAAGGTCCTGGAGTGGCCTAGCCAGTCTCCAGATCTCAACCCCATAGAAAACCTTTGGAGGGAGTTGAAAGTCCGTGTTGCCCAGCGACAGCCCCAAAACATCACTGCTCTAGAGGAGATCTGCATGGAGGAATGGGCCAACATACCAGCAACAATGTGTGCCAACCTTGTGAAGACTTACAGGAAACGTTTGACCTCAGTCACTGCCAACAAAGGGTACATAACAAAGTATTGATATTGACCAAATACTTATTTTCCACCATAATTTGCAAATAAATTATTTCCAAATCAGCCAATGTGATTGCCACAATTGGTATTTAGTCAGCCACGATTGGTGGCTGACTAAATACTTTTTTTTGCCCCACTGTATATATATATATATATATATATATATACACACACACACACACACACACACATACAGTGCTCAGCATAAATAAGTACTCCCCTTTTGAAAAGTAAAATTTGAATCAATAGCTCAATGAACACAAGAACAATTTCCAAAATTTTTACAAAACTTGAGTTTTATAGAACATTTGTTTAGCTCATTACATGACAATAAGGTTAATAATATAACTTAGATTACAAAATCTTCAGTTTTACTCAAATTAGTTGCTGCAAAAATGAATACACCCCACAGCAAAAACTACTCCATCTAGTATTTTGTAAGACCTTCATGAGTTGTAAGGACCGCATCAAGTCTTCTAGGCATGGAATAAAAACAAGTTGGCGACATATTGCAGCATTGTTTTTTTTTTTTTTTTTCAAGAACGACCTCTTTTAGAGGCTGGATGGAGAGTGATGTCAACTTGTCTCTTTAGAATTCCCCATAGGTGCTCGATTGGGTTCAGATTAGGAGACATACTTGGCCACTGAACAGGGGCGGACTGACAACTCATGGGGCTCCTGGGCAATAGGAAATCATGGGGCCCCTGTGTCCTCGCCCACACTCAAACCACACCCAAAAAAGCCTATGAAAGGTACCAGGGGCATCTCATGGGCCCCCTAATGACCCTGGGCCCTCACGCAGTGCCCGAGCGCCTAAATGGTCAGTCCACCCCTGCCACTGAATCATTTTCACCCTGTTATTCAGAAATGCATTTCTAAAATTTTGACAAAACTGAGTTTTATAGAACATTTGCTTTGCTCGTTACTTCAAAGTAAGGATAATAATATAACTTAGATTAAAAAAATCTTGTTTTACTCAAATTAGTTGATGCAGAAATGAATCCATCCCACAACAAAAACTACTCCATCTAGTATTTTGTATGACCTCCATGATTTGTAAGGACAGCACCAAGTCTTCTAGGCATGGAATGAACAAGTTGGCGACATATTGCAACATCGATCTTTTTCCATTCTTCAAGAACAATCTCTTTTAGAGCCTGGATGCTGGATGGAGAGTGATGCTCAACTTGTCTCTTCAGAATTCCCCATAGATGTTTGATTGGGTTCAGATCAGGAAACATACAGCACTTGGCCACTGAATCACTTTCACACTGTTCTTCTTTAGAAATGCAACAGTGGCCTTAGATGTGTGTTTTGGATCATTGTCATGTTAGGAAAGTGCACGACGACCAAGGGAATGGAGTGATGGTAGCACCTTCTCTTTCAATATAGAGCAGTACATCAGTGAATTCATGATACCGCATCAATGCAGCTCCCCAACACCAGCAGCACTCATGCAGCCCCACAGAAGGACACTGCCACCACCACATTTCACTGTAGGCACCATGCATTATTCTTTGTACTCCTCACCTTTGCGATACCTTACAGTTTTGAAGCCATCAGTTCCAGAAACATTTATCTAGGTCTCATCACTCCGGAGTACAAAGAACCAGTAGTCTTCTTCTTTTTCAGCATGGGCCCTAGCAAATACTAGGCGGGCTTTTTTGTACATGGGCTATAGAAGAGGCTTCTTTCGTGGACAACACCATGCATGCCATTCCTCTGCAGTGTACGCTGTATTGTGTCACGGGAAACAATCACCCCAGTTTGGCTTTCTGCTTCTTTTGCTAACCGCAGTGAACTTGCATGGCGATTTTCTTCAACCCTTCTCAT